ATTCCACTTCTTTCACCTCTCTTACGCTTCGAATCTCTTGTAGAGGCTTAGGCCCCTCAAACGAAACGCCGCCTCCACCAATTTGTTGATGCTCGACATCAAGAATAGAATGTTTTCTCTTGCCAAGTGACTGTTGATCGCTCAAATGCCGTCGGCTAGGTTCGGCATTTTTCCTGTTCTTTAACTCAGCAAGACTCTTTGGTGGAGCAAAATCGGCCTTATTATTGTCACCTGCAAAATCTCTTCTCATGTGCTGGCCTGTATAATTATTCCTCCCACCGTTATTAAAAGCTTCTCCGACCCTTGACTGTATCTTGTCTCGAATCCCTGCCTTGTAAGGGGAGATACTTGCCCTCACTGGTGACCTTCTACTACGGTCACCCCCCCTAACCATATCCCTTTCGTTCGGAGATATTGATCTTCCAGGCATTCTAATTCTTCCTCGAAGACGACTGCTGAGAGAAGTCTCATTCAAGGAATAATGTTTTTCGTCTCTATGCGAAGAACCATGGTAGCTCCGGTCTCTCACTTCCATGTCACGGGCGTGTTCGTGGCTAATGACTGATCTTAAACCATTTTGTCTCTTCTGCTTTGCTAAACGGTGCCTTAGATCTAATTCATCCACTTGACTAACATTATCACGCCTGGCGTGTGGCCTCCTTTCGTGATAAGATCCTCCCGACATCCTCTCGGACGAAGCTCTACGCGGATCCCAACCGTACTGCCCCTTGTGGTGGTCATGCGAGTTATAACCAACAGGGTCCTGATATCTGTCATCATCAAGAGCAGCAATCGCGTTGTAATCGATAGAGTGACCCATATCATATTCATTCCTGGATTCATGTTCTCTCGGCATTCCATATCTATCTTCACCAGGATAGTAATCGGAATCTCTTCCCTCGTCATCTACGAGAACATCGAATCCAGGAGAGGGCTCTCTTGAAACTTCTTCTGCTTCCTTACTGTTCATGCTTTCAGGTCCGTCCAAAAGGTGAGGTGGCTGAACACGATTGGACCAGCTAACTGGAGTTCCGTTGGTAACAGGAGGAGTAGTTCTGTATCTAGGGAAATCATTATGGCTTGATGTTTGTGGTGCCCTCCTGTTTACGGCAAATTCATTTCTAGGAGGAGCTTCCACCTCAACGATTGGATTTGCCCGTGTGGAGTCCTTGACAGGTTTAGGTACACTCGCAGGTAGGACCACCTTCTTCTCTTGCACAGGCTTTTCGGTTCCACTAAAAGCTTTCTTCAGAGTTGCAGGCTCGGCAGCAGATGATGTTCCTGCCACTGTTGAGGCTTTGTTATTCAAGGAATTTGGCACGTGGAGAAAGTGACACCAATCACCTTTTACACAGTGCCCTTTCTGGAAAAATATGCAAGGCACTCCTTGTTTGGCAGATGCATGAGGAGTAACATGTGGGGTAGGTGTTATCGCAGGCTGTGTTGCAGGCACATGCGTTACAGGCACAGAGGGTCCAGCAGATGTTGCTGTTTGGGTTCCCGGCAATCCATCAAAAGGCTAAAGAGCGCCAAAAAAAAAAAGTCTGGTTAACCAATACATAATGATGAGTAGTATATCATATCAGTAAATAACATTCTAAATTTAAACTTTGGCTCATAAAGCACACAATTCGTAACAGAAACAATACTATGATTACTATCTACATCAGATCAAGGGTATATGACTAACCGGATGTCGGAAACTACATCTTGGGTTTAAGCAGTTACCATGCACCCAAAACCAACAGTCCCTTGGGTTTATCCTTGCAACGTCACTATGGCGATACTCACACTCACTTCCCTGTAGGAAAGAACCCAAAAAACATAAATATCATTGAGAAACAATACTATACCACGAAAAACAAATTTCAGGATGATAAACTGAGAAGACAAGTTCCTTGGAACTACAGTGAACCGTATCACGGTATTAAACACATCGAATTCATTTATGTATCAGAATTTAAAGTGATGAAACATCATTGAAATCGAATCATTGAATGAGCAATTATACCATAAGCAGAGCATGATAATTATTTGTTTCGACAGAATACTTTCCCAAAAGGAGCAACTGCCATCAAGTGGAGCAACTTCAAATTAGAGAATCGAATAAATTTACAATGATAGACTAAATGAGTCGTTGATTCCCATCATATGTCAATATTAAATTTCACCACAACAATGGCAAAATCATAAGAAATCAAAGGACTCAAAAAGTATAGACAAACTACAATCTCTTTTCTTTGCTTGGGTAAATCCATAAATTATTACGCGTTGTAGAATAACTTGTAATGTGTTTGCCCTGGAAGTTCAGGTTTATTTGCTAGGCTTAACAACATACAATCAAATCATTTGTAACCTTGTCTCTTAAAAAATTAGTTGACTAAATCATTGTCCGAATTCTGACATCAAGATTACCTTTCAAATGACATTTCTTAGATTCATGATACTCTTCTTGTACCAAAAAAGGTAACTAATTATCAGAAAAGAAAAAAGAATGAATAACCATATTTTAGAATTTACATGGATAAAACCAAACAGCCTTGTTTCGAGTCAAGAAGTTGTTCCCGGGAACATATACACATATGACATACGAATTAGGAACATACACATATGACATACGAATTCAAAACAACTCGTTCAACAGCAAACTCCGATACAGATAGAAACACAAGCGCAAAAAATAGGAAACAACAAACACAGGAAAGATAAATCAAAACACGGACAAATTAAATTTTGTAATACACTACAAGTACAATTAATCAACAACAACAACAACAACAAAAAGATCTCCCAAAAAAAATTAAGTAATCCTTAAGCAACTCCAAAAATCGATTAAAACCCTGTGCAAGAAAGATCTAATCCACAGAATAATTAAAGCACCAAAACATGTCATATGCGGAAACTGAAATCATATATTCAAACAAATCTGATACGGAAAAAAAAGAATTGCTACATAACCGCAAGCACAAAACAAATATGCACACGTATCATAAAAAGGAAAGGAAAAAAAAGGACCTTTTTGCAAGTTAAAGGCGAAGCAAGAAAGTAAACGCAATCCATGCTACTCTTGAGCGCTTCCTCTTCGGCGGAGAGAGGCTGAGACTGGGAGGGAGGAGGTGGAGCGCCCGCCATTATTAGATCCTTAAAGCAGCTTGAAAGATTCAACCCCGAAAATTAAAATTAAAAAAAAAAAGATTTGGGATCTAGGGTTTTAATTATTATTATTATTATCGAGGCGGCTAACTCTCAGGTAGGTCGGCTTGCTCTTAACACCGCTTCTCCCCCTTTCGCCACATCAAATACGAATCGCCGGATACGATAAACTCCGACGAGCGTGAGAGAGAGTGCGAGCGAGCTCTAGAGAGAGAAAGAATGGTAGAGAGAGAGAGAGGAAGATGATGAGTTAGAGAGAGAGAGAGAGGGGTTAGAGAGAGAAACGACAGCAACTATATGAGTGTGTGTACTATATAATATCAGATCTGCTTTGCCCCTTCTATCCTCTTTTTTCTTTTTTCTTTTATTTATGATGAGAAACTTTGTTATCAACCATATATAAATAAATAAATAATTTCCATGATTTCTTTTGCAAATTTAAAATGTTTACGTTATTGAATATATTGTTTGTTAAAAAAGAAAAATAAATTAAATAGAAAATAAAAATAATAGAAAAGGTATATATTATTTATTTTTTTAAAAGCCTAATAACCTTAATCGAAAGATTCAAAGTTTTTTTTTTAGACGGGACGATGAAACTCGAAGAATTTATGAGCTTTGTTGAAGTGCGACGTCGGTTTTTCTGAGAACTTCAGATATGTTTCACATGCAAGATACGATTCAAGCCAATTGAAGTATTTTTCGTCGACTTTTGTGTTGTTCAATTTGGAAGAAGCAATTAAGACGTTTTACTGATTCCATTAAAAGAATTTGGCTAGCAGTTGATTTGAGGGGGTAAATATAAGTTCAATAACGAGATAAGATATTTCGTAAATTGACCTTACTTCAAGATTGTAATTGAGTAATCACAACTTAAAACACGACAAAACACGACCCAGTTAATTAAATTACTGAAGTTTACTCGAAGTTATATCTTTTATAACGGAGTTTGATGAGAGGCATATGTTCGAAACTATTTGGATACGTATGCCGTGTGGACACTTACTTAAAAACAATGTTTTGGCATAATAGTAAAATTTGTATTATCCGATAACTATTATAAATATTTTAAACGAATATGAAAACCAATAAGTTCGATATATAATGAAACTGAAGAACGTAATTTGAGATCAATAATTATTATTGTATCCATCATTTCGCATTCGCAAAGTAGTAAAGTAAATGCTCTCTTAGTTTCATATTATATGTCTTTGAAATTGAAGAACGTAATTTGAGATCAATAATTCTTGTTGTATCCATCATTCGCAAAATAGTGAAAAAGTAAATGCTCTCTTCGTTTCATATTATCTGTCTTTTAAGGTTTTTGCACGGTTTCTGCACGAACATTAAGAAACTATACTAATAAAGATACATGAATTTTAACAAAAATACACTTAATGGACTAAAATACCCTTTCTGATTATTTCTCTAACTAACAATTATATCTCCATTATTTAATTACATGATGACAAAATTGAGCAAAATGTAACAAATGCATCATTGAAACTCTAGATTGGGGTGTTAAAGATAGCAATTTATGGAGATGCTGAGGACTTCACTTAAATAATAATTTCTCTTGGTGCCGACTCGGTGAATATGTATTAAATTATTAATTCAACAATTTAATATTTCGCTAAATCAATAGAAGTTCACTTGTTCTGGATGTATTAATTTATAGAGGTTTATCTGTATCGTCTTCTATCAATAGATGTTATTGTACAAACAAAAGGGCTTCTAAGAAAAATTCTACAATCCTTCATTAATACAAATTAAATGAAAAAATTACACTTCAAAATTTGTTGCCAACAAAAATGAGCGCAAGGACCTATATCTCTAGACCTACGAAAAATCGACTCTTTTTATGTACCGATGTTGTATAGCAGGAAAACAGTTCCAAAAAAAGAGGGGCAAAAATGGAAATATCATAAATATTTGCGTCGCAGATAATATGTATATAGGCATGTGCATGCTCACACAGCCTTGTCTAACCACTTTTTTTGCGCTTTGGGCGTCGAATCTTAGTTACATCGCTCTGCTTTGGGCGTCCAACCTGAGTTACATCGCCCTGTAGTAGTATCAAAGCTTTCTCGAAGGTTACCTCATTAGCATTCATATTCTGTGAAACCATTAAACGAAGCACAAAGAAGAAAGTTTTGTTTTTAGTTGTAAAAAAAAGAAAATAAATTATAAAGTCAAAACACAATACGAATAATACGAGTGATAAAATACGAAATGGACTTGGTTAACCTTGGGTACCGCAGCATTCGTGCGTCCGTGATTAATGCTAAATCCATCATCTCTAATCCTTAGAATTACTGGTTTGTCATCATCAGGATGCTTACCCTGATTTGTAAGGGAAAACAAAATTAGGATAAAAACATATATGTATATAAAAAAACCCGGGATAATGCATTGAATATATACCAATTTCAATGGATACTTTAGTAATTCCAGGGCATCTTCCAACGTGATGGATTCTGGATTCTTGATCTAGCATAAAAGAGTACGAATATTGGATTAAGTGAAGCGAGAAATGAATTTATTGCAAGCAGCATAATTCCCTTTATAAACTGAGGGGGGGGGGGGGGGGGCGCTATTGGACTTGAGGCACTAAAAAAACACATACTTTCAACGTGACTCGCTTAGGTACGTGTCCCTTTCTGTCGTCACCAAGCTGCACATAGGAGCTGTACGGGCCACACTTCAAAATAACCTAAGAAAGGTGGTGGAATAAACCAACATAAAAAAACATTAAAAAAAAACCCGAATGGTCGGTGACGTAAAAAACAGTTATTACAATACAATCCACAAATAGTATATTATCAGACGAAAACCTTCTCATTCGATCCTGGTTTAAGACCAAGCAACTTCGGCTCCTCCGCAGCAATGTTCTTTTCATTTTCAGGGGTGTTTTCGTCATCCTCTTCGCCGTAGAGCGTTTTAGCAATGTACCTTGCAAATGATATATCATATATATATATCAACAAGACCATGACAACCATAGAGAATAAAATGAAGTCGCTCGACAAATTGTACACTCACTTGCAATTCGGGTGTTGATCACAGCCAATAAAGTAACCTACACCGAACCTGCTAACTTTGAAAACCAATGTCCCTTCATTACAGCTTGGGCAAGTTTTATTCCCATCTTGAAGAGAAGCGAATAAGAAACTGCCAAATGTTTTACCCAACACCTTCTCCACCTGATGGATACTTACCCCGCTAGCACACTCGCAATGCTTGCTAAATCTAGTCCAATAATCTTTCATAAGGCCTTTCCATTCGGTTATTCCAGAAGAAACATTATCGAGTTCAGTCTCCATGTCAGCAGTGAAACTATAATCCGTCACCTCGGAAAAATAATGAGCGAGGAAAGCGGACACCATACGCCCACGAAATTCTGGATGCAGTGTACTGCTTTTGACCGTTACGTAATTTCTATCTTTCAGCACCTTAATAGTGGTTGCATACGTAGAAGGTCTTCCTATACCGAGTTCCTCCAACTTTTTTACCAACGACCCCTCGGAGTAGCGGGTTGGAGGCTGCGTCGAGTGTTGACTGAGCTCTATTTTGGTCAGCGACAATGGCTGCCCGCATTTCAATGCACTCAAGACCTCATGCGCTTCCTCACTACGATGGTTCTCTTCATCCTCGTAAACAGCTTGAAAGCCTTCAAATTCTACTCTCGAGCATGAAGAACGGAAAACAATGGACTGGTTAGCATTCGCGATATCGCATTGTATGTGCTCGATTATAGCAGGTTCCATTTGACATGCAACCGTACGATTCCATATGAGAGTGTATAACTTCAGTGAGTCTTCATCGAGCACCCCAGCAAGCATTGATGGTAGTGTTCGGATATCGGTGGGCCTAATAGCTTCATGAGCCTCCTCAGCATTTTTCACTTTTTTAAAATAATTGCGTTTATTCTTTTCTGCAAAATTTTGGCCGAACTTCTCCACGACGAAGGATTGAATTTCCTTAGTGGCTTCATCCGATAGGTGCAGTCCATCGGTTCTCATGTAAGTTATTAAACCAGCAGCCTTGCCATCGGATAATTCGACTCCCTCGAAAAGCTTTTGTGCAACTTTCATTGTGTGCGATGCTGCAAAGTTCAATTTGTCTCCAGCATCTTGCTGAAGAGACGACGTTATATACGGCATCGGTGGATTTCTTCGACTTTTGCTGGTTATAGAACCGGTGACCTCAAACTTGGACATGTTAATCTTTTATTCGATATCTTTTGCCTCGTTACTAGAGCTAATTGACAACTGGTTCAGTCTTTTGCAGTTGAAATGAGTCAAATATGAGGCGATAGAACTATTTTTTACCGAATTTGGATCGTTATTCTGGAACTGAACGTCAATAGAACAATACAGCTGAGGTTTGAATTCGTCGATTTCCTTTTCTCTATCACACATAAGAGAGATAAAGCAGCAGACTGGACACGCCCAGCGGACTGGCAACCGGGTAACTTCCTCAATAATAAAGGGGAAACATTGAACCCAATTAGGTAATCGAGCGCACGCCGTGCGAGATAGGCATGCACCAAGTCCACGTCAATCTCGCGTGGGGCCCGCAGAGCATTTTTAATGGATGATTCGGTTATTTCGTTAAAAACAACTCTTGCAACAGTAACATCCTCTCGCAAAGCATCCTGTTGCTTCAACATTTCGAGTATGTGCCAAGCAATAGCCTCTCCTTCACGATCAGGGTCCGATGCAAGAATCAGATTTTCTGCCCTGGAACAATGGATGAGACAGTAAACACAGTACCAACTCGCAAACAAAATCAAGAAAGTGAAACCTTAATACTCTTAAAAACCATCCATATTTTAACTGCATACCCACACAGTGCAACCTTAATACTCTTGAGATGAGACCACGCAGCGGACGGAACTTCCCACACCATACTGAAATCTTTTTCAGGTCGTACAGATCCTGATCTTGCAGCCAAATCTCTAACATGGCCGTAACTCGGGACAACCTCGTACATTTCACCAAGATATGCTTGAATCACTTTTGCCTTTGTGGCAGATTCCACCACTACGACAGATTTAGCAACAGGTGGATACAATTGATTCCAAACTTTTTGGCCTTGAGGCTTGGTTTTATTGATCACCTGTGAATCTTTTGGCTCTATAAGTTCCTCGTTAGATTTCGGAGAAGAATGTGATTTTGTTTTCGATTTTCCCTTTTTAGTTGAGCTCCTTGCATTGTTCTGGACAGTCTCGGTTGAAATATTGCTATCAACCAATTCTGTTGTATTTGAAGTCGAATTAACCTGCATCGCAGTTAGTTAAAATGGTAATAAGTCTGTAACTAAAATTTCAATTAGACTAGAAGATAGGCAGCTTCTAACCTCTAACGAAATCGGAGTTTTTTTTCTTTTGTTATTTCTAGTCTCCTTCGCTTGAGAAATATTTCCAGGGTTCTTTGGCATGTGTGATGTGTCAACAGAACCAGCACCGGACGATTGATTTTGCTTTTTCTTGCTCCTAGATTGCTGCTTCGATTTCGCTTTGCCTTTTGGTATGTGTACATTTTTTTTTCTGACTAAAGATGTCTCACTATCCTTGTTAAATATTTCGAATAAATTGTTCATCTCGCTGCTCCGACTTTCTGTTTTAACAATATTATTCTGGGCAATCGCCTTTGCCATCTGAGAAAATGATCTGCTACTACTACTACAATAATTTGAGCACATTCCACCACTTAATAACCCGTAATAAGAAGCATTTACGGGAACTTTAAACGCAGAAAAAGAGGGATGCGTATTAGCAAAACTTCTTAGCGGATGAATCTTCTTTTCTGGCTTGTTTTCGAGAGGAAGATTAACGGATTTCTCAGCATTTGCAGATAAACACTTTAAAAACATCCGATGATAATTTCTCAATGATCGATTCTGCAACTAAACAGACACAAACGAAAACTAATAAGACGAACACAAAATTTAACAACAAAACTACACAGACACAAAAATAATCTTTCGCGACGAGTCTACACCATATAAAAACCAGTAAATTTGTTTATCCACAGCAATAACGGAAAAATCGATAAACCCCAAACAGAGTATCAGTCTAAACACGCACTTAACAAGCAAGTTAGTTATACATTCGGAATCAAATCGAACAAAACGACCTCCGAAAAAGATCTTCGTGTTTTCATTCCACATTTATCATTTTAGAAAAAAAATTAATTAACAACAGAGTATTAATATATAAATCAGGTCCCATAGAAATTTCTCACAATGAAATGGTTTTGATCAACAACAAAATTGAACTCTGACCTGAAAAACTCGGCCATGTGACCTCACCATGCTGATAACCTTCTCTCCCACTGCATGCTTCATCAGTAATTCCATTCTGTATTCTGAGAAGATTAAATCGCGTGTTTACAAACACATTCGAGCAAAAATGAATTAACGGTAACAAATTTCATTTCAGGGTTTGAGATTAAAGTTTTACCCTTGAAAAAAAATTTACCGGCGATGGTGACGGTGACCACGGTGGTTATAATTCGCAGTTCCTTCACTTCCGCCGCCGAGAATCGCCGGGTGGGTTTGGGTGGCGGAGGGTGTTTTTTTTAATGTTTTTAATGGGAAAATTGCACTTTTAGTCCCTAATGTTTTAGCCTATTACACTTTTGGTCCCTATTGTTCCAAAGTGAACAAAATTCGCCTCAAAAGTTCAATTTTAAACACTTTTCGTCTATTCCGTCACCTGTCAGTTCACATTTAATGGAAGATGCTATTTTAGGATCGATATTAAAATTTAAAATTGTTTTGGGGCTGAAAAATAATTGGAAACGAGAATGCTCGTCCTATGCATTCAAATACCGCGCATATCAAGTCTGAAGTATCCGCTTTGCACCCTCCGCCGGCGTGTCACGCTAGCTTCGTTTATGGTACATCATATTCTCTAATCACATACTTCGATGTAATCAGTTCTTCTTCCGCATTACTAGTTGATATTGCAGCTCAAAAGATTAACAACTAAGAAATTTAGGCAATTTTCTTTGGACGAGCTCAAGAACTCGAAACAATGAGTCGCCGAGTCTAGCTCGAGTGAACTCTGTCACATATAACCAGGGTCTAGTTCCTCCTAATTTGGAATCTTTTTTCTTATAAAGAATCTTTTATAGTGGGTCTTTCAATATTGTATCCGTTTTTCTATTATGTTTGACTGTTCTATAATAATATTGTTTCGTTATTCTGTCTGGTTGAATCCCGTTTTTTATCTACTTTTCTATTCTAACAACGATACAAGTTTGCGTAATTCAGACTCAGCTAAGAGGAAGGAGCGATGAAATGGCTCGAAAACTTGGTGATGCGGCACTTCATTATGCACACTGCAGCTTTGTATTGGTCTAATTTATACTTCGATGGGCGATAAGAAGAGAGGATTAAAATTCTACATGATTGCAGCACTTTCGAATCCAACGGATGCTTACTTGTGGAAAAATCTCGTCACGCAATCAATGTAAGATGTGCCGTTACTCGTATTCCGATCTATGTTTTGTTTTCATTTGCAAAATTTGCATAGAAACAAGAAACACGACAAATCCCCTGAACTTAGGCTAAATTAAAAAAATACTCTCACCTATTCATAATCACATAAAAAAACCAGACGTTTGTTTCCAACTTACACAAACCCTCTACGATGTGAGTTTTCACAAAATCTTTTTGATTTCAAGAAATATTCCTAAAAATGTCACTTATTCTATTATTTGTATTATTTTAAGACATAATTACCCTTAGTGGTCAATTGTAATACTATCAATCCATGAAGGGGTTAATTGTAATGTTTTTGACTAACATTATTTACTTATTTCAGTTTTAAAATGTAAGAAAAGGCCATAAATAAACAATGATCAACATCAATAATTGTGAAAAGGACAAAAAAATCTCTGTTTGAACAATTTTAATATAGGGTAATACTGACTTTAAACAATTTTAGATTTTTTTTCTTCAACTTTTCACATATTTAACAGAAGGGTATAATTGACTCTACACATTATTTGTCAAAAAACTTGGTCAACCGCTAGGCGGAGGATTACGGATGTACATATAGGGTGTTTTTCGTCAATCAACCTAAGTCCAGGGATATTTTCGTAATTTACGCCTTGTATTCGTAGAGCAATAAATATAATAGCAGATCCCACAGATATCGGATTTTGATTTCGTCGAGCTTTGAAAGGTCGACTGTTTTCGACGCTTCCGACGCACTCTACAAAAATGTGTCGACATATATAGCTGAAATAACCTCTCATTTCTTCCTCAAGAACAAAAATAACTGATTTTACACTTGAACACCGAACTACACTCGAGGAATTTACACACACACACAC